CAGTGGCCTCCCTCTGTGGGAGGTGACTGATGGGACCATTGGGGGGACAGCACCGGCTGGTGAGTGGCTGGCCCCACCCTCTATCATCCTGCTGCCTCTCTATCACTGACCCCACCCTCTGCCTGTTGGCATCTGCCTTAGCTGGCCTGGTACCACCTGCTCACCAGCCCCACCCCCTGCCCTCTGGTTGTTCTTCCATTCGGTCTATTTGCATATTAGGCTTTTATTATATAGTATGCTCTAGCCAGAAGTCTTCTATTCCTACTTTCTATAAATATATTTTTAAAATATATATGTTTTTATTTATTTCAGAGAGAGGAAGTGAGAGGGAGAGAGAGAAATAAACATCAATGTTTAATGATGAGAGAAAATAATCAGCTGCTTCCTACAAGCCCCCTACTGCGGATCAAACCCACAACTGGGGCATTGCCTGGAATCAAACTGTGACTTCCTTATTCATAGGTCAATGCTCAACCACAGAGCCACACTGGTTAGGCTCTATCAGTATCTTAACATCTGTTTTGTATGAACCCAAAGCTACAGGGGACAGGTGTGTTTTTTTTTTAATTCCAAGGTGTAAAATTAGTTCTTCTAAAACCATTATACTTTATTAATCTAATCTAGTGTTAGTTATTAGAAATACCAAAATTTGCATTCCCATTGCTATCTCAGTGACTACTTCATTATTTGCAGAAACTATTAAGAAGAATGCAGAACATTTGGGAGATTTTATTAGTACAGTTATATATATATATATATATATATATATATATATGTGCATATTATATACTACTATATGTTATATGTTATATTGTTACATGTTACCTGTTATATTCTATATATTTTATATATATAATCAGCAAACAAATCTACAAGACATGTGAACAAAACTGTCATTCAACCAAGGATTAAAGAATCAGGCTTGTCAATAGATGCACCTAGACTTAGGATGGGGTTACATCCTGATAAATCCATCATAAATTAAAAATACCATAAGTTGAACATGCATTTAATGTATCCAACCTACCTCACAGCCTAGTCTACCTCAGGTGTGATCAGAATATTTATGAACCTACAATTGGACAAACCCATCTTGTGGCCACTGCCCAGTTCAGGAGAGTATCATACCACATATCACTAGCCCAGGATATTGCAAGCACAGTTTCTATTAAATGTGTATTACTATTGCACATTCATAAAGTCAAAGAAGCTTAAGTCAAACCATGAGAAGCCAGGGACCATCAGTATAGTCATTTACTAACTCTGAGCTTTTTGGCTCAAGTCAAAACTCAAGACGAATATTCTGGAGTGCATACTGACTCATTTATGATGGTTTTGTTTTGTTTTTTTTGTTGATATATGAAAAGCTGTCCAGATTTGATGTATGAAGCTTTATAAAATTGAAGATAAGTACACACAATGAAACCATCACTAAAATCTATACCATAAACATATTTATCAGCTACAAACTTTCTTCCATTCTCTGTATTTATTGTTTTTGTATGTGTATAATAAGAATACTTAAAATGAGGTCTATCCACCCTGCCAAATTTTAAGTGTACAATTCAGTATTGCTAACAACAGGCACCACAGTAGACAGTACATCTTTAGGATTTATTCATCTGGCATAACTAAAACATTGTACCCTTTGACTAATACCTCCAGGTTTCTCCTTCCTGCAGCCCCTGATTGGCAACCACCATGTGTAAAAAATAAATCTAACAGATGGTTTTATCTCCTTTGAAGTTTGTGAATTAAATAAATGAGCATGCCTTATTGATGCAGATCATGATAATTAGGCAAGCATATTATCTAGTTGGTTTAGTTTTACAACATAAGTTTTAGCAGTAGTGGTATTGAATCCTCATTTTCTGTGTTTATACTTTGGTTTATCATATTACTACTGTATTATATTTTTCAAATTTAAAAAGATGCTTATATATTTTCCTTTTGTCCCAATATCAATGCTTCTAGGGTACATTTTAGAAGGGGGCTTTCAGACAACAATGATCAAAATAGTCCATTATATTTGAAATTTCATTCCTGATCATTAGATGAAATAACTCAAAACTAATTTTCTATTTGGGAATTTATATACCTTCATAAAAGATAATCTTGACCACATTAGAAATGTAATATATTAACACTAATAAAGGGCACCAACCCTTGGATATGCAAAAAGGTAATCCTTAAATTACAAAATACATTTTTAAAATTATTCTATAAAAATTTTCATTTTATCAAATAGTTCTTCCAAGCAGACCCTTCTAGGTTATATTTTAATTATAATTTTAATTGAAGATTTACACATTTGCAGTTTATGATATATTTAATTACCATTTCAAGTATTCTGACATTTATTTTTAAGTCATTATTTCATATGTGATCCACCACATTGTTTATATTACATTTGCCATTTCATATAAGTAGAGTTTTGGTCTCCATCAGCCACTTCTGCACGAGGATTTTGGAAGAAAAGAATAGAAATAATGACATCTCTGTGGCTCATTTGGGAAGAATACTATTTAAATTTGTTCTTAATGTACAGCTGAAATTAATCTTGATTTCCCATCAAATGTACAGGGATTTTACAATATAGTTCATAACAGTGTTTAATTCCTCTAGGGAGCAAGGTAAGATAAACAAGTCACTGACAGTGTTTATCTATAAATATAGCAGATGGTGTGGGACTGAGGTTGGTTATTAAGTCTGACGACTTTAATTTCATGGTTATAAAACACTGTAAACCTCACTGTTTATAAAAGGCTGGGGAAGAATCTCCATTGGGCTTCAGTAGCCAAGAAACCCTCTGTAACATTAATCTCTCTAACTGATATTTGGTATCCTCCTAGGGTGCAATATTAAAGATTGTGGAGTGATTACTAGACACTTTAAAATTTTCACTGGGATCATTAGCTAGCATTTCTGTCGTTGATCTATTGTAACCTTGTTAATGAGTTCCATGTGAGTGAAATTTAGTGAATGAGATGATTCTTTTTAAACTTTGTTAGGTGAATGTTTAATGGTTATTTTAGGCAGTCATATATTTATAAAAGATAGTCTAATTTGTCAAAATAATACCTTTTATCTTATGCAAAGGTAAATCATGATACCTAATTATACCAAATGTACTTAGAGATAAAATTTCATAAAGGAAAGCTATAGCACCATTTGAATAATCAAAATAAGTTATATACATTTACATTTAAGCCATGGATCTATCTAAAAGGTCACAAAATGACACTGAATTTTAAAAAAGCAAAATAAGTTATCCTTCATACTTATAATTTATTTAAATATAATTTATTATATATAATAATTCATTTAACTTAAAATCTGTATGCCTAATTTGAATAAAACAAATTCTTCCAAAAAGGACTGCTATTATCAAAATGGTATTATTTGAAATAGCTCAAATTTTCCATTTCAACTTGATAGTGAATGACAAAATTTATTTTATAACCATAAAAGTGGACATTTTTTCACAAGCCTTATCTAATTCTATCACTTTCACAATCAGAAGTTGATATTTTAGTTTCTAAGAAGGTCTGACTTCTATGAACATTACATAACCCAATATGTGAGTTGGGGATTTAAAAATCTTAAACAAAAAATGTCTTAACTGTATTAGAGTTTAGACTCATTGGGGATGGGTTTTCTAATGACAAAATCCTTGGCTACTTCTCTAGCTCTTACATTAAGCTGCTTCTTCTGGACTCACCCTTAGAGTTTGATAATTGATATGGAACATGAAACAGGCTGTGTCCTGTGCTTTCTACCAATTATCCATAACATAGACCTCAAACCTTGGTTTCAAAAGAGCTGGCCTCAGAACAGCAGCATCCCTGGATATAGAATGGACTAAAGGGAACTGATGGTAATGTATCAATTTATCTCCCTTTCTGCTCAGAGCCTACCGTCACTAGTTGTCATGGAACATACCGTGTTTCCTCAAAAATAAGACATCCCCTGAAAATAAGACCTAGAGCAACTTTGGGAGAAAAAATTAATATAAGACACTGTCTTATTTTCGGGGAAACAGGGTACTATCTTGATACACTAATTTCTGCAAAAAAACAAACAAACTATCTACTCATACTTGGACTTCCAGGTCTCAAAATGCACAAAGCATGTATGACAGATGATAGCAAAACCTCTTGCAAGGGAAGGCTTTATGTTAATTTTTTATGCATCAAAACTCATCTGGATCGTCATTATCATCATCAAAGAAATTGAATTATTGGGTTATTGGTATATGTGGCAGTATTTGTGTTGAACTGACTCAAGATTAGAGATGATTTCACTTCGAAGTTATTAATAAAAGTCATCTAAAATAGCTTTAGCAATCAATTTTAAGGATTGCATCTTTTCATCTTTGGTTTTGTGAAGTGAGGTAAAAATCTGTTTTGCAAAGCATGGCCATGAAGACGAGGGTCACGGAGTGGCCAAGAGGTGTCCTTCAGTGAGTAGGAAATAGGTAATAATAGAAACTAAAGGGGTTAAAAAAGAGAAACAGAATAATGGAAATAAGTCAAGCTAGATATTAAAATATGGGAGTAGAGAATTGAACAGGGTGATTAGTTTAAGGGCTCTTGAAAGAATTCATAAATACACTGGGTCTTAGAGAAATAAGATATCATTAAAAGCACATTAAAATCATCACTCATGTAAAGAAGGAATATTTTTCAACATCCCAATGGTAGCCTAAAGTTACTGTCCCCCCCCCCCCGCCGCCTCCGTTTATATATATAACTATCTTATAAAATGTGATTTTTTTTTCTAATTATGCTTTGAAAAGTTTTTTGTAAGGAAATTATCTGATTCAAAGATGAAAAAAGCTGTTAAAATTTAAGAAACACTTAACCTAATCTATTATATTTTACTAAATAGTAACATAGAAATAAGTTGCTGCCTTATAATATAAAGCAAATTACAACCCATGGGATAAAAATAACGCTGTTCCTTTATGCTTTAATCTCATTTTCATTACTTTCTTTCAGATTATTCAGCTCTGTCTAATGTCAAAGGCATTGCGTTGCAAAAGAGAAAACAAACAAAGGAAATAACGCTAAATGGATTTCATTCCCCCTCCAAGGGTCAGTTAAACATCAAACCTCTGTACTATTTTTTATTATTTATTTTCTGTAGAAATCCAGTAATTTTCCTTTAATCTTGTTTCTAGGAGAAGTGATTTATGCCGTCATGTGCATGACAGTCACCTGTGGAATCCTTCTCGTGGTTTTGTGCAAGCTGAGGTAACTGGATACAACTCAGAAGGGAAGGGCTGGAAGCGAACCAGCCCTGTTAAAACACACTTCACCATGGCAGAGCTCACCCAGGGCCCGAGAATGAAAGTTTCTCCATTAAGACCTACTAAATCAACATTTAAAGTGGGCTGGGCCCATGGAAACGCTACTCTCAGTCATCATACGTAAGGGAAATGTGATCATAAGGGAATGTTTTACCTTGCATTTTACAAACGCATATGTATTGTTCCCCCATTTAAAGTGGTATCAGTCTTTCCCTGGTTTTCTTATGAAATAGAAATTGAACTTTGCTGCTTTCCTGCTTCACATCACTTGCAGGATTAATCAGCTTACATAAATGGACCTATTGTATACTTCAAAACAGTTTATATTTTTCTAAGGGTGTCCTCTTCAGTCACATTTCTTACATGCTAATGAATGTTATGCATGTTTTAATATGCATACATCCAGACCTGTATAATTGGAGGCCTCACAGGGTACCATTAGGAAGACATTACTTCTAACTGACATTTGAATTTAAATCCTTTTTCTTGGCTGCCTTTGTTGCTCAAATGCAGTAATGATTCCGGAGGCATGTGAGATTGAAGATAAAGGGTTACAGCTGTCTCTGGATTTCTAAATATCTAGGGCACATGTGTCAAACACAAGGCCCGCGGGCCAAATCCGTCCCGCCAGGCCTTGCAATGTGGCCCGCACCGCGCTGTCATCACTGCACTCCGCTGCGTTTCCATCACAATGACAGTTTATGACTGTTCAGTAAACCATTCGGCCCGCGATTTAGGCTGGATTTTAGATTTTGGCCCCTTCTCTGATTGAGTTCGACACCCCTAATCTAGGGTTTAAAAATCTCAGTTTATTTAACCACTCACAAATAGATATAAATTGGTGTGCAGTTGATTACTTTAATTAAAAAAATAACCTCATATTTAAATATTATTGATGTTGATTTCCTAATTAATATTGATGTTGATTTCCTAATTCATGTATATCATTTTTTATAATTTGAGTACCATAAATGTTAATGAAGAAATTATATGTGTGTGTGTGTGTGTGTGTATGTGTGTGTGTGTGTGTGTGTAAACAAACATAGAATACATGGATCAGTAATATTAGGGCTAGCAATCAGCGAGACAATGGGCATCTCTCATCTCATGACACCCACAGGGGGAGACAGAGTGAACTGTGCCATGTATGTACATACATTGCTCCTCCAGAAACCTCAGATTTCTAGTGCTTCACATAATAGCAGATAAAATGAAAGTGGGAAGGAATGTGGCTATACCAAGGGGCAAGCCCATGAAGAGTGTATGTTTCGCCTATGGACATTCGATGCTATTTTTAACAGCAATGCCAGTTAAACATGTCCACCTAATTAATCCACCTTCTCTAAACATTTAATTTGATGCTTAACAATACCAGTACCAAAACAAACTGCTTTCCTCCAATGCCTTAAATGTCGTGTTAGTATGAGAAGATATTCCTTGGATTCTAAGGTAAGTTTAAAGGCCAAATAATTAGAGTCAGTTTCAAAGGGAAAATAGAAATGGGAATTTATTCAACTTTCCTTTATGTGGTTTAAAATAATTGAGAGCACTGTTCAGACACTGGGCCTTCCTAGATAGTCCATCACAGACATATAGTTGATTCTCTAGCACAAACGGTTCTCTAGCAAAACTCTTACTTTAATGGTCCTCAATCTTTATTTTTTAGCCTCACACATAATGTATCAAGTTCACATCTGCCACACAGGCCCATGGGTTTTCACAGATTACTGTTGTGCCACAGATAAATAAGGTGATGGCCACTTAAAATTCCCTGCGTATCAGCTGTAACTTTATCTCTTTTTTTGCCTACATAAATAGGCATATCCCTGTACTGCATGGCAATGGCAGTAAAGTGTGATAGACAAAAATCTTAATGTACTCCAATATGTATTTTAAAGCAACTCATTTATATTGTTAAGTATATTACATTTAGTTACAAATTATTTTCCTTACGAGTTAAAATTGATTCCTGCCTATAATCTGAAAGCTCCACATTCTGGGTCAAGAAAATGATAAAAGTAAAAGCCATCATAGCAAGGAAGAATAAAGTAAAACAAAGCATCATTAACAACCAAACCTGCGTTACCACACATCTGCAGATAAATAAGGCTTTCTCAGTGAAAGAAGGCTGAGTGCCATTCACCTGGTAGTCACATCTCATCCACGTGAACACCTTTCCACAGCAAAGATTAACATTGTTGCATTTGCTTCATGTTTTGCTAAATTAAAATAGCCGTAATTCTTCAAAGAAATTTACAGAGAACCCAATAATTTAAACCACAAATATGTGAGAAAAGAAACACCTCTCTTTCTTTTTGCAAGTGATTACTTGCAAATCATAGTTCAATGCATGAGACCTCTTAGAAAGATCATAGAACCTTCTTCTATTGGGTCTTATATTCAGGAAGTTGATTCGTTTTTCCTTCCAGGCACAGAATCCACCCAAAAATATAAGCACACATTATTTTTAAAATCCTTAAATTGGCACATTATTAACTTTTGCTTTTACTTTTATGTAGAACCTTCAGAATATCAACTCAAACCAGAGATCCATCACCAAGCCAAATCCTCGAAGGACTCATGGTTCATTAAGAATCTGGGACCATTAACAATCACTTCCTTTCAAGCAAATCTTTCTAGCCAGCCAACAGAATATCCTGTTCATCATCAATAAAGAAAATGTTGAGAAGGATTTAAAAACATTTTATCATTAAGAATAATAATGTAAGGTATAATAATATGACAGGTGTTCAATTTTTTTTTTTTTTTTTAGAAATTATTAACTATAAATAAACAGTGGTATCTTTTATGAGGTCAATACAGAATTATAAAATTGCCCTTGAAGGCAAAAAGTGTCAGCTTAAATTACAGTCTACGTGATTTATTGTGTGATAAATTTGAATCTACAAAATGGTAATTAGCTATGTCATATATGACATGGTAATTAGCTGTCAAAATATGACATGGCTAGCAGGCTTTTTTTCCTGATCAATTTAAAAAATTCCCATTAACTTGCCTAAAAAATGCGAATAAAATATCTAGTATGTTTTTATTTGTATATCTTAATACAAATTAGATAAGTTATTAGCATTGACTTTAAATTCCTAAGGATATTTATTTATTTATTTATTTTTTGGAATTATTTTTAAGAGTTTTTTTTTATAAAATTATTATCTGTGTACATATTTTAAAATTGCCTCCCCCTCCCATTCATACCCTCCCTCCCCAGAGTTTTGTGTCCATTGGTTGTACTTATATGCATGTATACAAGTCCTTCGGTTGATCTCTTATCTCCCCCAGATCTCCCTACTCTCCCTGCTGTAATTTTACAGTCTGCTTATTGCTTTACTGTCTTTATATCTGACTTTTGTTTTGTCAGTTTATAATGTTCTTTAATATAAATTCCTAAGGATATTTATTTAGATGACTATCTTAAAAATTGAAAGTGGTATCTTAGGTGTTTAAAATATAATATAATACTATTGAACTTTCTAATTTAATGTTTATATTTTTTATTCATAAAGCTGTTAAGCAACTAATTGGTTTAAACACCTGTGCATCTTAATATATTTTATTTATTTCTGAATTTAATTTTTTCTATGCTAATTATGAACTTCTGCAATAACAAGGTAACATGATACTTGTTACTTTATTGTTTCCAAATTGTGATTTTTGGCTTGGTTTGACATGAGAGTATAATTGTGATAAAAAATGGAAAATACGTTTATTACGTCCTTGATGCATATATGCTTTCTGACTGCAATCATATTGGATCCATTTATAAGAATAAATTATGAATTGTCTGTGTGTGTTTTTTATCAACAGAGGCAAGATATTTAATAACCCATCCATACAAATAATTAGTAACATTCTGTATTTACAATTAAAGGTCAAGCATTTTCTCTCTGTTTGATGTCCTCTATTGCTGTTCACTGCACTTCAGATCAAATTATCTACATTAAATTACATTTGAAGTTAACATTTGGCTATGTTTACTCAGAGTAATTAAAAAAGCCATCCTTTATCTTTTAAAACAGGAAGGAATAACTTGGTGAGCTATAAATCTCCCTCAAGGAGTTCTCCACCTTCCAGTGGCTGTTAACACTCTAAATTAACTTGAAGAGAATGTGGGCATTTCCATCTCCAAAACTGACATTTAATTTGGCTTACTAACACCTGGGAAAACGTGAACTCTTCTCTGGAAAGCTGAGGAAATAAATCAAGTTGCTTCTAGAAATATGTTTGTGTTGAGCAGAGAAGGGAAGGACAGAGCATGAAGGAGAAGATCTCCCTTAAAGACAATCTTGTCTCCTAGGCTAGCAAGAGTGAGCAAGCCATTCTGGACAGAACTGCAGAAACACGAATCAGCATGAAGTATTTAGAGAATTCCAAATAGGCAGCTGTCTCTGGAGCAAGGAGTGCAAATTAAAATAATATGGCAAAGCCCTGGCCGGTGTTGTCCAGTGGTTAGAGTGTCATGACCAGGTCGATTCTTGGTCAAGGGCACATACCTGGGATGCAAGTTTGATCCCAGGCCCAGATTGGGGTGAGTGCAAGAGGCAACCAATTGTTGTGTCTTTCTCACATTGATCTCTCTCTCTCTCTCTCTCTCTCTCTCTCTCTCTCTCTCTCTCTCTCTCCCCCCCCCCTTATTTTCCCACCCTTCCACTCTCTCTAAAAGTCAGTGGAAAATAATTAAAATAATATGGGACATAAAACATAAAATATAAGACATACATCAGGACTGAGACAGTAAAGTTTCTTAAACATGATGCTAAGAAGTCGGGACATTCTAAATCTGGTTTGTGAACCTCTTCAGGACTTGGTTTACACCTTTTACTCCTCTGTCCTCTGGGAGCCCTTTTCTAACAGCTTCCCCCACCCAGAGGTTAGGTATCCTTGCTCAGCACTGTCTGTACCGTATATTACTATACCTCTCTGCAATTTGTAAGCACTTTGAATCTGTTGGCTCATCTCTGATTTCCATTCCTGTACACATAGATTAAGTTCAATAAAAATTGCTCAGAGAATGGATTGCTTCACTTGTATGCCAAAAAACATTTTAAACGAGGAAGTGACATCATCAGATTTATGAATGAGAAAAGGCTGGCAGACATATAAACTATGGACCTAAGATGACAAAAGTGATGGTGAGGAGACTGCCTACAAATGTACTCTAATGTTTTAGCTAAGGAGTAGTGAAAAGCCAGCATTGAATAATTTGTTCGACACATTTCTTTAGCCACTGTATGTGCCAGTCACTGTACTAGGTGCTGGAGATAGAGTACTGAACAGAGTCCTCTTAGAGTTTCAAAAAACAAAGAAGTAAAAAAAAAATAATCTCTGAACACAATAGAGACTACTAAGAAAACGTAGGAGGAGTGGCAGTAGAGTCTTATGAAGAGAACTGGTGGTGATATGAGTAGGGAGTGAACATAAATGTGTCATAAACAGAAGGGATGGGGATTTGGGATTACATGGTCGCAGAGAAATTGTGTTGTAAGGGCCATGCAGCAGCAGAGATGAAGAGTAAGCTTCTGATTTATGGCGGGAGGTGAACTATGATGCTACTTAGAAAACTGGCTTTGACAGGAAGGGGATGAACTTGGAATGCAAAAGGGCAGCATGCCACTTATCTTCAGATTCGTTCCCACCTGTATGTACTTCTCACACATCCCAGGAGGCTCGCCTATCTGAAATATAGGCTCCCTCTTCCTCTGGTGTCCAGTGGGTTCAGCCAATGGTGAGAAATGGCAGGAGATGGGCGGTATATTCCCCTCAGTCCCTCCAGGAGGGCCCACCGTGGGCTGGTGTTTCCCTGCATGGAATGGTACTGTTTCTGTGAGTGGCTTTCTCCAGTGAAACTCTCCTTCTGGATCGCAGTAAACATCCTTTCCTTAAGGGCTGGCCATCCTAACGGCTCAGCTGTTACCAGCCTCCATTTGTGGATTACCTACAACTACCCACACCTGTATAAAGACTCCCTCAATCCAATATTCTTACTCTGAGTTATCCAAAGTAAAGTCACCCACTTTGGATAACTCAGAGTTTTATTTTTATTTTTTAATATTTTTATTGATTTCAGAGAGGAAGGGAGGGGAGAGGGAGAGAGAAAGACGGAAACAGCTATGATGAGAGAGAATCATTTATCTGCTGCCTACTGCATGCTCCCCAGTGGGGATTACTCTTGCAACCCAGGCATGAGCCCTGATCAAGAATCTAAACCGAAACTCCTGGTTCATAGGCCGATGTTCAATAGCTGAGCCACACAAGTCAGCCTCCATAATTTGTAGTTTATCCTAATTTGCATAAACGGATCATTGTTTCAGGTTTGGACTGACACCAGTGGGATATCCATGTGGAGTTGCTATTAGTCCACTAGAAAATATGGTGTGGCACTGCTAAGTGAGATCTGTGCCATAGCACCGCATTGAGAGTTTTCCGGTGTGTTCCATCTCTTTCTCCCCGGATGGGAAAGTGAGTTTACCACCTGAGGGTCCTCTGGGGGAAAACCACTGGATGAAGGGTGGCCAGATCATAGACTTTCCTCAGCAAAATCCAACCATCAATGAAATTCCTTCCAGTGCGGCAGCCTGGCTGGTCCTGTAATAAACGTTTGTGCTGCTAGCTGCTTCTGCCTATTTACCCACCGCCTTTTCCCAGAATTCTGTCCGTGACCTCCAGCAGGTGTTGCTAGCCACCAGGAGTTAGCAGAGGGGTACCAGCTGGAACTCAGTGAGGTGAATAAAAGGTCTCCTGGGAAAGGCTTTGAGGCAGATGGTATTATAGATTGTCTTTGTGGTTCTCCAGAGCTACGTGTGAGTCTGCCCCTGCTTTGAAGTTCTCCTGGAGAGTCCTGAAGTACACATCCCTTTTCATTGTCACCTGGTGTGAAATGAATGCAAACAACTAAAAGAGTAAGTAAAAGAATTCTTCTTTTTATTTTGTGAGAACAATCCAGATTGTGAGCTCTACAACCAAGGGATAAGATCTAAGAGACTGATGGTCAAAATGATAGCATTGCTGTTTCAGAGGCAGGGTGAGTGAGCATGCTTGCTCAGTGCCCTACGACCTCTAAGTGTCCTTGTCTGCCACAGTGGCTTGTTTTGCCCTCAGCTTCTTTTTGAATTCTGAGATGAAACCATCTGGGCTGCGGCATTTTATTCCACTTGAGTTTGTTGGGTTGTCCCCTAAGTGGCTCTTTGAGATTTTCGTGTCCGTTCAGGCCACACCGGTTGCACCCCCCAAGCTGAGGATGGTACCAAGAGTGTTTTTAAAACCTTCTCTACAGACAAACCAGTGGAAATAAGTGTATTCTTAATCAGGGCTTTATAGCACAGGTGTGTGTTATCTTGGTTCTACAAAGAGAAGGAAAACATGCCTTTAAAATGCAGCAGTTTAAAGTTTTTGTTAGGCAAATTATCATTTAATATAATCAAGTCATAAAGGCTCATAAAAAGTGGAATTTTCCATCTGGTGCATATAATTATGTTTATCTATGAAAAAATGTAAAACCACATTTTGAGTGTGATGGATCATTTGATGTTATAATAGAAATATATACCTGAGGCAATTGGGACATAATTAGGTAAAATAGTTTTCTGAATATTTTAAGCCTAGGTAAAGACACAACTGTAAACATGAAATGGCAATCTTTCAAGTAAAAATCTTCCATTTGTAAGCCCAAAGTTTGCTTTGGATGCATGGTTTAATACTCTTTAACATACATATTCTATTTTGTTTTCTATGAATAGATGTTTTTAAATGGGGTTCAAAAGGATTTGGTCCTGAATCACCTGGGAGAAGAGTGGACTCCCAAATAAAATCAAGTTTTCTATTACATGGAAAAACCGGAGAGGGCTCTTGGGTCTTTTTTGTAGCAGCCCACAGTTTCTGCTACAAAACTCTAGATTATCTTCATTATCAATGAAATGATGGATAGGCCTAGAACAAATCCAGATAAAATGGGGTTTAAGTTCCATCTTTCCTTTCCCTATTTGGAGCTAAATAGACCAAACCTAAATCAATGTTTCTAGACCTAT